CCCCCACACCTTGTACTCGCGCCTCATGCGCTCCACATAGATATCGAGGTGCAGCTCCCCCATGCCGCTGATGATGGTCTCCCCGGTCTCCACGTTATTGGACACGTTGAACGTCGGGTCCTCACGCTGGAACCTGGGGGTTGAAGCCGGAAGGCGGACAGTCGGGTGGTTTGACCAGGTGGTGCGGGGCCACGTCCAGCGTGGCAACGGCGGTTCTCCTGACACTACATGCAGGGCCCCGGGCCCACCCCTGAATCGGTGCAGAAATTTCTGCACCGAAATTGGCGGAAGGGCTGACTCGCTTGTGCCGGCCGCTCGATGATGTGGTGTGCGCCTGCGCCGCGCGGCGCCCTGTGCGCGCATGCCGGCTGCTGCTGACGGTGCGCTGTCCCGGCACCCCGTGGTGCCATGTGCAGGGTTAGTCACCTGGCGAGGGCGCGCTGGAAGTTGGGCAGCTGGTCTGTGGCCTTGGGCGTGAGGGCCACGCTCATGACGGGGTCCGGCACCTTGATGGACGTCATGGCCAGGGAGACGGAGCCTGGGGGTGGAACATGTGGAGCATTAGGGGGTCGTGCCAGGGGTGTTGAATTGTTTGTGTGTGTGTGGGGGGGGGGGGGGAAAAAAGGGGGGGGGAAGTGAGTGGCAGGGTCGTGCCAAGATAATGGAGTGAAAAGGAAGGCGGCCATGCAGCGGGGCCTTTGGGCTGCGAGGGCTATGTGTTTGTGAGGGCCATTCAGTCAGCAGCAGCCAGCGCACGCGCGCCGCACGGGTGCACCGGCTCAAGCCGCGGGGCGTCGACCGGTTGGGGCCGGCGGGCGTGCGCGCGCGCGCACCGTCTGTGAAGGTGTCGCCGCTCGCGCACTCGATGCCAAACAGCGCCACGATGTCGCCCGCAGACTGCGTGCGGGGGCATGTAGGAAGGTGGGGGCGGGGGAATGAGCGGCGCAATAGGGTGGCGATGGGGGCAATTTGATATCTTGCCATCGCAATGAGCGAGGCAGATACAGGGGGCCGGGCTTGTGCGCTCGACCGCGCAGCGGAGGGGTTGGGGCAGCTCCTGGAGGTTGGGGCCGTGCAGCCTCCGCGGCTCGTGTTTGCGAACTGCCATATCAATCCACCCTTTTTCCACCGCCACCTCTTACAACCGACATTAAGGAGACAAAAACTCCGCCGAAGCCCCCTCAGGACATACCCCACCCCCAGAACACGTGCCCCCATGCGTCCCACCCCCACCTCCAGGCCCTCTGCACCGCTCTGCAGGTGGGGGCCTCCTTCCCAACCGACCCAGCGCTGGTCCTGCCAGGCACCCGGCCCCGACCCACCGCCGAGGGGATGTCCTCGAGCTCGTTGCTGTGGACCCTCACAAGGCGCGGCACCCTGACCTTCTTGCCTGATGTCGTGTTGACCACAAAGTCCCCCTTCTTCACGGTGCCACTGTACACCTGCCAGTAGGGGTGGTTGTTTGGAAGGGGAGGGAAAGGGGGGGATGTGGGGAGCGGACACGGGGTGGGTGGTCATGCGGGGAGCTTTGGGTGGCAGCATTAGGTGGAGGTGATTGGTGCGGAGGGGATGCGACACTTTTGAATGTTTGTGGGTGTTGCGACAGGAAGGGAGGCTCGGCTTGGGCGCCGTGCCACAGCCCATTGTGCGCCTCGCTCCACCCTGGCCTACACATATTTACACACACACACACATACATGCGCGCGCGTGCGCACACACACAAGCACACACGCAAGCACGCACGCACACACACACACACACACACACACAGTCACACCCCCGCCTCACCCTGACGTATGTCAGCTGGCCGTACTTCCCCTCCTCCAGCTTGAACGCCAGCCCAACAAACGGCCCCGACGGGCTGCACGGCACCACCACCTGACGCACCAAGGGGAAGGACGGGCCGCGTGGAGAGGCTGCAGCCGCAAGTATGACACAGCCCAGCGGCGCCCCCGCAGCCAATCATGCTCCGCCGTCACATTGCGGTTCAGCAAAGGCCAAGAAAGCAGGGCGCTGATGAACACACAAGGAGCCCGATGCTAAGATGGCGGCTGGGGCTCCGCCGCCTGACCACTTCCAGTGACCCCTCAGCACCCGCCCCCCAAACC